GCCTTCTTTAAAATTCAATGCATATGTAAAGAAATATACGGTAACCCGAATTTACCACACTCGCAAAATCGCACACAGCCAACCATACACCCAGTATGGTATCGCGATTCGCGATTTTGCGCTATCATACTGGGTGTATGGTCGGCTGTGTGCGATTTTGCGAGTGTGGTAAAATCGCATAACAGCAAAATCGCATAACAGCCGAGCATACACCCAGCAGCGCTGCTGATGCCTGAACGGTATGTGGAATGAAGTGGGCGGGCATCGGGAGGCCACTATGGCATGGGGCAAGCACTATGGGCAGTCTATCTGAAGTGTACCTGGCGTATAAGACGACCCCCCACTTGGAGGCATATTTTTCAGGGCCAAAAAATCGTCTTATACGCCGGCAAATACGGTAAAGATTTTTTTTAAATAATTTGTTTTATTGTGTCTAACCCACATTTTCTAAACTTATTTGACTATAAAACCCTTTTTCTCCTCCCACTTCTATTAACATCATATGGACTGCATGCTATGGAGGCTTAACGCCAGGGCCTCCTGCACATGGGGTCCCCGTCCTCTCTGCTCCCCGCAGGCCTCGTCTGGCCCATCTGCCTGCCCTTCTCCGATGAGGAGCTCCCTCCGGCAGCCCCGGTGTGGGTCATCGGATGGGGCTTCACAGAACCGGGTGCAGGTGAGTCCGGCTCAGGGCGGCAGGCCGAGGGGGCAGTGTTCAGAGGGTGGGAAGGAGGGCCATCGTCAGAGTGCCCGGTGACCCGGCGCATTCCCTGAGTGGGGACCAAGGCCAGGACAAGGACAAGTAGTGGGTGTGCCTCCGCCCCCAGGGAAGATGTCTGACCAGCTGCTGCAGGCATCGGTCCAGGTCATCGACAGGGCGCGGTGCAACGCCAAGGACGCGTACCAGGGGGAGGTCACCGCGGAGATGCTGTGCGCGGGCGTCCTGCAGGGCGGCGTGGACACCTGCCAGGTGAGCCTCCATGGCGCAGAGGGAATCCCGTGGGGAGGAACGAGGACCCTAGAGAGACAAGGAAGCCAGGAGCTCAGTGCCCACGGAAGCCTCGCACAGGGAAGGCCCCACGTGTGCGGACGGGGGTAGGGAGAGAAGCAGGGAGAGAGGTGACGGCCGGAGAATGGCACAGGAATGGATGGACAGGTGGATGGAGACGAGCAGAAGGATGTTAAGTGGATCGTATTTCACACCCTCCCACCCACCCCACCTCCCATCGTCTAAGGAGTAAGAGCTCCTGAGGGCAGGAATTCCGCCCGGTTTCTCTGTCCTCAGCTACTGCACTGCCCTCAAGAGCCCCCTCATGCTGGTGGGCCCAGCGCTGTGTCCCACCCTGGCCATGTCTCACTTCCCTCCCCCAGAGGCTCTTCTGAGACCCTCTCATTAAAACCCCTCACCCTGACCTGGCCGGTGTGGCTCAGTGGATAGAGCGTTGGTTTGTGGACCAAAGGGTCCCAGGTTCGAGTCCAGTCAAGAGCACGTACCTGCCCCTGGTCAGGGCTCATGCAGGAGGCAACCAATCAATGTCTCTCTCACATCAATGTTTCTCTCTGTCTTTCCCTCTCACTTCCACTCGCCCTAAGAATCAATGGGAAAATACCCTCAGGTGAGGATTAAAAAATAATAAATAAATACATAAATAAATAAATAAAACCCCCATCCACACTGCTCAGTTCTCTCACTCGAGAGGTACCTCTCAGTCACCTCTTAACCAGGTAAGGGCTGGGTGTGGGGACAATGTCTTCCCTTGGGAGGTCACAGTGAGGGTGAGGGGTGTGCACAGCAGCTTGGCCACCAAGTTACTGGGCTTTGAAGGAAGAGACCTCAAGGGTTATAAGAACTGAAAAGGCAAACACCCAAGTAAGTGCACTTTTTATTCTCTGACATTTTTGTCTGTCTTGTGTGCTTACCCCTCCCTCCCTCTCCCTTTCTCTCCCTCTCCCTCTCTCCCTCCCTCTCCCTCTCTCCTTCTCTTCCTCTCTCCCTCCCCTATAAAATACCACGTGCGGGCGCGCACGTACAGTGTGATTGAAACTTCATGGCCTGTGCGCACCCGCATGTATTTTGTGGAAGAGCCACACTCAAGGGACCAAAGAGCCGCATGTGGCTTGCAAGCCGCAGTTTGCCGACCACTGGCCGAGAACATGCTAATCACCACGCTGTGGGTTCAGTACCTGGAGAAATGCTATATGAAAGGAAGATGACCAGCTTCCTGCTGCAGGGCCCTTGGCGCCTCCCCCGCTGGGGTGAGCTGTGGGTCTCCACAGGAGGGCCCGGGCACACCCACATCCCACTCGACCTCCAGCTGAACCTTTTGCCCCCAAAGAGGACACTCTAGGCACAGGGACAGTGCGAGCAGAGAGGGCAGGGCACAGCCAGCACTGGGCGGGCGGGCGCAGGGGGCACAGGGACACCCACCCTCCACCCTGCCCGCCTGCCTATCCAGCAGCCCCTGCTCTGCCCTCTCCCAGGGAGACAGCGGAGGACCCCTGATGCATCACTCCAGCCAGTGGCACGTCGTGGGCATCGTGAGCTGGGGCCACGGCTGTGGGGGCCCGAGCACCCCCGGAGTGTACACCAAGGTCGCGGCCTATCTCAACTGGATCCACCGTGTCCGCCAGGTGAGCCCTCCCTCCGCCGCTCTCAGGCTTCACCCAGATGCGCGGAGGCAGCGCCCACACCCCAGTGTTGTCCCCACCAGGGAGCAGCCTGGGCTTCCCACCGTGAGGGCTGAGAGTCCTTAGCTCAGAGGCCGTGCAACGCGCATGTTAGAGTGTGGGCTGCGCCCAGCGGCCTCACCAGAGAGCAGCTTCCCATGGGGGGTGGGGGGGTGTTTGAGGCCTCCCCACGGGGGAGCGGGAGGGGCGACGAGCTTCGGGAAAGGGAGTTAATTTTGCACACAGCACTGCTGTGTCCGCTTTCAAATCCGCTGACTCGCTCTCTATTGGTCTCTCATTCTAGTCTGAGCCCTGATGCCGCGGCCCCTCTGCAGGCCTGGGGCCCCCGGACATCAGGCACCGCACCGGGCAAGCGCCCCTTGGCACGCCCCTCTGCCCACAGCCTCAGCTTGTCCCAGTGCAGCTAAGGGCCTCCATCCCTGTAAGCGACCCTGTGGCCCACAAGAGCTCAAGAGGAGGGCAGCAGCCTGCTCAGCAGCCACCCCTGGTGCTCCCAGCACCCCCAGGAGAGACCCCGCCCCCAGGCAGTCTCAGGCATTGCCAAGCCAGGAAGGAGCACCCCCACTCCGCAGGCTCTGGGGAGAGCCCAGGTCACTGCGAGCTGGAGTGGAGGGAGGAGAGGGTCTGAGCGAGCCTCGCCCTCTCCACGCCTCCCATGTCTCCCGGGCAAAAACCAGCTGTGGTGGAAAGTGCAGTCCCGCGGGGCCCAGCTGCTGTGCCCGCTGCTGCTGTCACTGCTCCCGCGTGGCTGCTTTTATTAAACAGGAATGTGAGGTCTGACATGTCTGACTGGGCTGCTTCATCAGCACTGAGTGGGCTACTGAGCCACAATCTTTAGGTTTTTATTTAATTTTATTTTCTTTATCTTTATTGTTGAAAGTATTACATATGCCCCCTCCCCGCCATCAACCCCCTCCAGTCCACCCTGCCCCGGGCCCTCACCTCCCGATTGTCTGTGTCCATGGGCCATGCAAACATGCACACAGGGTCTTAGGTTGATTGTCTCCCACTACCCGCCCTGCCCCGCCTTCCCTCCGAGATCCGCACTCTGTTCCCTGCTCCATGTCTCTGGGTCCCCTCTGTCCATCAGTTTATTTTGTTCCTTAGATTCCACATGTGGGTGAGATCATGTGACACTTGTCTTTCTCTGACTGACTTATGTCACTCAGCATGACACTCTCCAGGCCCCTCCATGCTGCCTCAAAGGGTAAGAGACCCTTCTCTGTTACTGCTGCATAGTATTCCATGGTGTAGATGTACCCCAACGTTTTATCCGCTCGTCTGCTGATGGGCCCTTGAGCTGTTTCCAGGTCTTAGCTATTGTGAATTGTGCTGCTGTGACACAGGGTGCATACATGCTTTGTGAGTGGTGCTTCGGGTCTCTTAGGGTATATTCCTGCAAGTGGGGTCCCTGGGTCAAACAGCAGTTCCACACTGTTTTCCGCAGTGGCTCACTAGCCTGCATCCCACCAGCAGTGCGCTAGGCTGACCAGTCTGTGTTCTTTGGCCTCGGTAGGGGCAGGCCTGCGGGGACCGTGGGGCCTCAGCGTAGAGGCCTGGGAAGGAGAGGAGCAGCGCTGGGTGGGGCAGCAGTGAGCTGTGGACCAGGGGAGCCAGCGAGCAAGTCTCTTTCCATACAGGCCGCCAACCACTGCCCTCCCCGCTTTCTCCTGCCTGTGGTTCCAGGCATGGGCCAGAGATAACCTATGATCTGGGAGGGCGATGGCCTAGCCCAGCCGTGGGCAAACTACGGCCCCCGGGCCGGATCTGGCCCGTTTGAAATGAATAAAACTAAAAAGAAAAAAAGACCGTACCCTTTTATGTAGTGATGTTTACTTTGAATTTATATTAGTTCACACCAACACTCCATCCATGCTTTTGTTCCGGCCCTCCGGTCCAGTTTAAGAACCCATTGTGGCCCTCGAGTCAAAAAGTTTGCCCACCCCTGGCCTAGACATTCAAGGGTGACACTAAATCATGGCTCCAGGTGGCTGGAAAGAGAGATTGCACCTCTGACTCCTAACCAATCTAGAGAGCCCAGGGTGTGGTTTTTATCATTCTTTTTTTCAGTCATTCATCACCTGCCAAGGATGCGGTGGTCCCCACGCTGGGTTCTGGGAACATACGTTCCTACACTCAGAGAAGGGAGCTCATGGGCTTCTCTGGCGACCATGTGGGAGCTCTGATTCTTGGAGGACCCTCTGCGTAGGTAACTCAGATCCTAGATGAAACATGCCAAGTCCTTAAAGATTATATATATAGGAACCCATCAGAATCGTGAGCTGAAACTAAGGTGGGAATCTGGGAGCAACCGCGAATTAAAATCTTGGGCTGCCCCAGGGGTGAAGACCTATACGGAGGCCGAAGAGGCTGGCGAGGCTGGAGAAGAGTCCAGAGAGGCTAGAGAGAGCCGAGGCAGAGAGCTCGGCCGCTGCTGCGTGAAGCTGTGAGCCTGAGGCAGCGTGCGGCTGCGCAGATGACGGCTGTGGGTACGGCGACTGCTGCTGCTCAGTGGGAAAGGTGTGTTCGTGTATCAGCGGTGTGCAGCTTCCAGTGTGGGACTTCGCTGTGAAGGACTGTGTTGTCTGCTGGCTATATGGCCACTGGCTCCTACAATAAAGGCTTTCCTATATACACCCTCAACTTCTCATGGCTTCTCCGTCTACCTCCGGGTGTCCAAGAAGGTCCAGCCCCTGGCAGAGGGGCGTGGCCCCCACAGTTCGTGCAATGGGCGGGGCTTGAGAAGGAGCCTGCCCTGACAGTTGGGTAGTCAAGCAGAATCCAGAAGACTACACGGACTCAGAGCAGCTGTGCCATGGCTGCCAGCTGCTCGGATACATTTTTTGGTCATTTCTTTCTCTCTTTTTCAATCCTCACCCAAGGATATTTTTCCATTGATTCTTAGGGGGAATGGAAGAAAGAGGGAAAGACAGAAACATCGATGTGAGAGAAACACACTGATTGGTTGCCACCTGCATGAGCGCCTGGGCAGGGGAGGAGCCTGCAACCAAGGTACATGCCCTTGAGTGGAATCGAATTCAGGACCCTTTGGTTTGCAGGCTGATGCTCTAGCCCTGGGGTGGGCAAACTTTTTGACTCGAGGGCCACAATGGGTTCTTAAACTGGACCGGAGGGCCGGAACAAAAGCATGGATGGAGTGTTTGTGTGAACTAATATAAATTCAAAGTAAACATCATTACATAAAAGGGTACGGTCTTTTTTTTCAATAGTTTTATTCATTTCAAACGGGCCAGATCCGGCCCGGGGGCCGTAGTTTGCCCACGGCTGCTCTAGCCATTGGGCAAAACTGGCTAGGGCAGTTCTTTGAATTCTGCAAGGCTTTGGTTTGATCGTGGGTGAAATGGGCATTGCGATGCCTACCTTCGGAGAGGTTAATCAGACACAATGTTGTAGGGAGGTAACTAGCAAGTCTGGGAATTCTGAAAGGCCGGGAGAGTCTCAACAGTGTCAGGCCTAGGACCGGGCAGGCGGCACAAGCCTCGCAGAGGGAGCTCAGAGCAGCCAGGGGACCCAGACCTCTGGCCTCCGATCGGTGCCGGCAGGGCAGGGAACCGCAGAGGCTGAGGAAGGACAGCCGGACGCACCGGCAGGACAATCTCTGGAGCTCACAGGGGCCAGCACAGGAACACCGCCGCCCACTGGGACGGAAGCACTTTGTACTTCCTGGGAGACATGCCAAAGGGGTGGCCTCAGTAGCGGTGAGATGGGCCCGAGGTGACGCTGTTCCCTAACCCCGGCTGGGGGTTCCCTGGCCTTGGGGACTGGCCTCACACACCAGCTGTCAGCACTCAGAATCCAGGGCAGCCCGCAGGTCCCTGGCGCTGTACACCCTCCTGCCTTCGCCTTCCCAGGTCCTCAGGGCCTCCATCAACGCGCTCTGGTCCCTGCACTCCAGCCTGGAAATTCTCCCGGCCATTCGCTGGGCCAATAGGAGGGCTCGCCTCCTTTGTTCCTCCCTCGCAGGGTCATCGGCCTCCATCCCTTTTGTCCTATGTCTGTGAAAGCACCGTGTCATTTCCCCAACTGTTTGGTGGTGGTGGTATAAGAGTAAATGATCCCCATTGGAGACCAGGCTCAGGCCGGGTGAGGGCGGCAGCAGGAAGCCCGGCGAGGAAGCTAGCGCCCTAATCCAGGGGAGAGCTGTGGGGAACTGGCCAGGGGAGGGTGCTGCTGGGTGATCCAGGAAGACCTGCGGGGGACTGACCTGGGTCGGGGTGCTGCTGGTGAGGGGTGGCTGAGTTCAGGCTGCACTGTGAACATGCATCTGATGAGATCTGTTGCTGAAAAGGACTCAGGTGTCTGGCTGGACATGAGGGGTCATGGCCGACCCTGCAATTTGCAGCCTGAATGATGGGTGACCAGGGAGGACGGGAAGAGCAGCTTTGGGGTTGAAATGAGGTGAGATCACGAGGCTCATTTTTTTGTTTTGTTTTGCTGTGTTTTTTAATAATATACTTTTATTGATTTCAGAAAAGAAGGGAGAGGGAGAGAGAGAAACATCAGTGATGAGAGGGAATCATTGATTGGCTGCCTCCTGCACTCCCCCCACTGAGGATGGAGCCCACACTAGGGCATGTGCCCTGACCGGGAATCAAACCCTGTCCTCCTGGTTCCTAGGTCTACGCTCAACCACTGAGCCACACCGGCGTGGCACGAGGCTCCCTTTGATAAGCTGACTTAACTGTGTCTGCAAGGAAGTCATTTCAACACACCCCCCTTCCCCAGTCTGCCCCTCAGACAGCCTCCCTGAGCAGGAGCAGGAGGGAGGGAGGGAGCTCAGTGATGCCTCCCTCCCGTGGCCCTGCCTCCGCGGCCTTTGCCTTGGGCCCCGGGACGCTCGTGGACGCATTATGCCAGCCCCGAGGAGGCTCAAAGCACTTCACTCCTGCTGCCTGGTGTCCTGTTGTCCTCGCCAGAGCAGCAGGAGCTGGAGTGGCCATCCCCTTTGCGGGCCAGGGAGGGGGTGGCGCCCAGGCCTCGCACTGGCAAGCCACGTAGTGAGCGTTAAAGCAGTCTGGGTCCTGAGTCCAGGGTGGCTCTTCCCGCACCTGCCTGACAGGGAGGCGGCCTGCACCTGAGCTGCCAGTCCAGGGCACTGCTCTGCCCATGATGAGCTGGGGCACGCCCTCCGCCCACTGCAGGGAAGGGTCTACCACCCACCTGAGCAAGGGCGGGCACTGGCGGCCTAACTGGGAGGGCCTGGGGCTGCCTGTGTCTTCAGTCTTGTCTGCTCTACCAGGAGTCTGACAACAGGAGGAACCAGGCACCATGAGGAAAATCTCTCCATCTCTGGCCCTAACCCTCCCTGCGAATTCACCCGCATTCGAGTCCCCTGGACCCCTTTCCCTGGGGCGGCAGCAGAGGTGGGAGCCCACCATCTAAAGCCAGTCACCCGCCTGCCCTCCGGCCTCATCCTCAGGCTCCACCGAGAAGATTCCCTACTCTCAGCACACGGCCTTTCTGCCCGGCGCCTCCCGGGAGGATGTGTGTGTTATGGGAGGAGAGAGGAGGGAGGATGTGTGTTATGGGAGGAGGGAGGATGTGTGTGTTATGGGAGGAGAGAGGAGGGAGGATGTGTGTTATGGGAGGAGGGAGGATGTGTGTTATGGGAGGAGGGAGCATGTGTGTTATGGGAGGAGGGAGGATGTGTGTGTTATGGGAGGAGGGAAGAGGGAGGATGGCATTTAGTGGCAACAGAATCATGGCGCCACCCCAGCCCAGGGAGGCCTGAAGGCCGTCAGTGTCACTCCCACCTCGCCAGCCTCTGCAGGAAGGTGGCAGCGCCCCTGAGTGTGGATCCCATGATACACCCTCAGGCCAGGCATGTTCTCACCAGGCCAGGAACTTCGTTTTAATGCTCAGCACAGTGTTGTTGTTTTTAATATATTTTTATTGGTTTCAGAGAGGAAGGGAGAGGAAGAGAGAGAGGCATCAATGATGAGAGAGAATCATTGATAGGCTGCCTCTCACATGCCCCACACTGGGGATCGAGCCCATAATCTGGGCATGTTCATAGGTCGACGCTCAACTACCGAGCCACGCTGTTCAAGTGGGTAACATTTTAGACACAACTCGACCGAGGCTGGTGAGAAGCCAGCAGGTGACAAGACTGGAACCCAGTCCCCAATTAGCCAACAATGAGGACCACACACCATGTCTGTTCAACATAACATTTATTTCTTCCAAGGCAAAGCGAAATAAAGCCCTGCAATGCAATCGGGTGTAAAGGCGAGACAGCCCGGCCGCCCGGCTGGACCCGGAGCCGGCGCTGCAGGTGCTCACAGCCGGCC